GAGGTGTCTGTGCCAGAAGAAATGGGTTGCATATTTATGGATCCAAGCTGCAAGGTTTACCAAAGCATATTTTTATCAGGAAAAGCCAACATGGAATGGGACGGCCATGCGCAGCTGCTGGTCTAATTTGCACTAAGCATGTACAAATAGGACGGCCCACACAGACCATAAAAGTGGAGTGGAGGTTTTGCTCTATGCGGCACTTTTGTCTGACCAGAGGCACAGGGATGTCTTCCAAAGAACAAACGGATCACAAAAGAAAAGAGAAGAAAAACACAACCACACTTAAATGAGTTTAAAATCCAGTACAATAACTCTGAGGAAGATGTACTGCTGATGTTTCACTGTTACTCCACAAGTAAACTGTTTTTCAAGTTGTGTCTAATAAGACTATGTCCATACTGAATAACTAAAATTATGTAATATAACCTTTGTTCGTTTTTCAGGCAGAGTTCCTCCTTAAAACTATAATAATGTAATACAAATGTACTTTGGTTAACATTTCTAGCTTCCCATGCTAGTGAGTGTCTTTGCTATTTTTTTATTTACAGAATCAAGGTCAGTGTCCATCAGAAAATGTATATGTCTGCTTTAGAGCTGTACCAATGTCCCTCCTGTTCATTTACCATACATTTTATTGCACCATGGAAATTTTTATTTGCCCTTGAAAATTCTTCTCTGGAAACCCCCTGTAGATCCTATGAGTACTGTATGTTTGTACAAGTACACATTACACACCCACGCACGGATACACACGCATGCACACACACTTACATATGTCTGAACGGGGTTTCCCTTTAGACACCGGATAAATAACTAACTTCAAACAGTAAACTAGGTGCTAATGAACTGGATCCTGACAGGGTTTGCTTTCCGAGAGCTGAGACCCACCCCACAATGGATCCATTCACAGGATCTCAGCCATGGAAAGTGTTAGTAAAGTTATCCTGTTAGAGTTTATGTGACCTTTTCTAACTCTCAGTACGTCTTTCTCCCTTCAGGCCTTTAAGGCCTAGCCAAAAACAACAGCGACCTGCATCAGCTGATACAGGCAGAGGCTACCTACATTTACATGTTTCAAAATGGCACCCATTCACAACCTGCTGGCAAATTGATGTAGGGAGGAAAGGAACACAACGCCCAGCTTCCTCTTACGCTTTACCTGTGAGATCAGTCATGGCAACTTCAAGGCCAGTGTCAAGGGTTGTTTCTTCCATGCCACTCTGCAGCACAGGACATGGCTGGATGGCATCTAAATGCTCATGTGCTCATGTGGCCAGGTCACCCCTCCTCCTCTGTATACATGACCTGCAAGGAAAGGTGTTATTTTATCTTTAAAAGAATACTGGCAGTCCCCTGCAGTGTTTCTGTTTGCTCTGACAAACCTAATAAAAGTCACATGGCTTTTTTCAACACCTTTGATATTCACACAGGAACAGAAACAACAGCTGCTTCAAACTTTTATGCCCATTTGCTGAAACTTACAATGACAGAGTGAGACAACTAGATGTGAGTGACAGCATTTCATCATAAATTCTAGAAACAAAAAGGGCCTGAACTCTCAAGGCTTAATATCTGAAAAAGGCCATCTATCTGTCTGTCTTTCATCAAGTTCTAGACTAACAGACTATCTGCCTGAGGTGAATGATTACCGTCCACCCATACGGCTGTGCTCATCAATATCTTTTATGTTTCTGGGCAAGAAGGGATGAAATACTGCCAGTGACAGGTAAAGTGATACTCTGCAAGTTGTTTTACAGAAGCCACTTTTCAGAAAGAAGCGCAATATTTAAACATGCAATATCCTGTTCCAAACAATGGTGTAGAACAGCCTGTCCTCAGATGTGAGGGTCACACTGGGCTGACAACCTGTGTTTATGGCTACCTGACCTGACACCATGAAAAGTTTTATTTGGATCAGATGTTACCACACAAGAAACGGCGAAGAGAAAAAGGGAATATCAGTCTTGGCTGTGTCATAGGTTCAAATGCAACTGAAAATGCAAGAACGTCTTCACTTTTTAAAAACTCTTCTTGTATGTAAAATTTGTATAGCTTTGGCCCTGGCTCAGTGACATTTTTATTAGCTTCAGTGGAAACGTCCACAAGCAAGGACGCAAGATGCCATTTACTGAAGCATCTATGGTTCCACCAATCTAAATAAACAATTAATTTTAGAAATAGAAGCGCCTTTATACTGAACCTTGACAAATATAGGCACTTTTATCAACACATCAACACACAGTCTATATTTAGTCAATCATTCTGCTCTAAGACAGATCCTCTCTTTACCATCACACCTGAGTCTGCTGGACTCTCATGATGACAGAATTTCACATTATACTGACATTTCTAAAACAAACAGCTTTCCAGGTGCAATTTCTCCCTTCTAGAGTTTTATTATTTTATTGGAATGGGTACTCAAATGGAATTTTATGACAGCTACAGAGATCAGTGGCTTAAGAATAAACCTATTGACATTAAAAAAGAAAGTGAGAAACAAAACAAAGACATGATTTTGACAGCCTGAGGTGAGAAAATTAATAAGAACTGTAACACTTTGCAGGCCATAAGGCAGCGAATAGCCTTTATTCCCCAGGGCCCCATGCTGTAGAGAGACACTCCTCCAGTGTTGCCTCTCAGGACTCCTGAAACCATCAAGCCCAGTCCCACAGGATAAGACCCGTGGTTGTGCTGGGTTGTAAAGCTGGGACAGTCCAAGAGGATGTAGGAGCTGGGGCGAAGGGGATGTGGAAGGCAGAGTTGAGCAGTAGTCGGTAACTTTATGAAAACAACACCTTCAACCACTGTTTACCTCCAAGCCTGTATTAAGTCATGAATAAGACCTCCATCAACACGTTAAAGAAGGTGGTGAGGCCAGTTAGTTCCTTGGTGCATTCATCTCTCACCCTAGAAGAACAAACCCCCCACCTCACCCCAAAAGCAATGGGGCTCGGCAGCATGAATGGGGCATTGTGATGCGCCTCCGTCACAGCAGTGAATGTTTTCACTTCCATTTGATCCGTCGGCAAGGCTGCTAATTGGGTAAGCGTGTTCCCAGGTCACCGGGAGGTTTCTCTTTCCATAAATACAGAAAGCCGGCGAAAGCTTCTACAGATGTCGTTTCCCACCCGCTTCCAAGTAGGTTCAGACCAGCTTCAGGCAGTAGATGTAATTTATTGTGTCTAAAACCACAGTCCAAAATTTTTCCTTCTCTCTCTCTCCTCATCACTCTAAAGATTGCATTTCATCATTCTCACAGGCACTGTAGTAAAGTTGACATTTGTACTTTCCTTTAGCTTGGACTGTGTGTACTATGCTGCTATTAGGACCACAGGTGTCATTATGACATGACATGGTGTTACTTTGTATGTGCTACATCCAGGCCTGACAGGCCCATGTTATTTTCCACGCATGTATCCACAAGTGGCACAGTTTATGAGACTCAGGGTTTATTGGTTTGTTTTTGTCATGGAATTTACATTTCCTGTCTTGCACATGGGCTCAAGCTAGAACAGAAAGCTTAGACAGACCCACAGACACATTTGCTACACTTAACCTATAGGGTGTGGTCAAAGAAACTGTCCTGCAAGTGGAGCACCAAGGTCTAAGGCCTTGTGTTGGCAAGCACCCTCCATGCTGAAGTGTCTTTGAATACTTACCAGTTCTTCTGCAGCTGCAGCTGACTCTGACATCTGCCTCCCCTAGATGGAGAAAATAAGGTCGAAGTATAACATCATCCTGTCAAAAAAGAGACACCACTCTTCCTCTAAGATGGTTTATGATGCTTTCACTGGAGAGCTGTTATAATAATGAATGAGATATCTAGTTTAGCTACATGTACTACACTAATTGAGAGTAGCTCTAAAATATTCCATATTTGTAATAATAATTGTAAAGTCATGCTCATTTCATATAATGTATTTCATTATCATCATTTTGAAGTTTTTAATTGCAGTATTTTCTGTGTATTTGTGTTTATTGACTTCTGTCTACAAGCCAAATTGCCCACTTTGAGAACATTAAAGCTCTACTCTACTCTAATGTGTTTCACTATTGTGATGTGACTTGTACAATATAAAATGGAGATTTGATATTGTGATATAAGTAACAGCTGTCAGCATCCAGATCCTAGAAGATCCAGCTGTTTTCCAGTCATAAAACTACTATGACACGAAGGGGACGACAAGTGTCTGCAGGGTTAATACAGAATGGAATTTGTCAAAGTTTCATCCTCTACGGTTTGGTCCATACCAAAAAACACACACTCAGTTGTAGCAAACAGTGGTCCATTACTGAGCTGAACACACACCTTTCTCTCAAAACTGATTTACAAACTCTTTTAGATCCTTCTCTCCTCCAACTCTGCTATGGTCTGATGGCGCCACTGTGTGGGAGAAACTGGAAATCTCAATCCACTAATGTCCAAAGGACCTCTTCCACTAACCTAATTATTTGATTCATACAAAGGAATACATAAAATATTACAACAAGCCATGTGAATGTTACTGGGATAAATGCCTAATGCACACCTGGTAGACAGGTGAAACTAATTTGTGTAATTTAGGCATCAGTACTGTTGCATTTTCAATAAATTCAGTGCTAACAATGTGCAGAAATTAATTACATTCTTTTAAAATTTGAAGATTGTCATTTATTCAAAACACAAACATTCATCTTAAAATATAACTCCACCTTCAGCTTCAGCCTAGGCACAAATTGCCTGATTACCTCAAGGTGCATACTCTCTTTTTTCCATTTGAAAATGCAACATGAGTTAAATATCCCTGTTGAGCTGTAGTGTGCATTTTGCTCAAGGCAAAAAGATGTGATCTTACCAACAGAAACCAGTGAGTGGCAGGCTTCACACATGGGATCACCTCATGACCATGTCTGTAACAGAAAGGGAGTCCACAACATGAACAAGCTGCTAAAAAAAAATACCCTACATAAAAGCTACATAATTAAAGCTACATATCTGGCTGTAACTCAGTGTAGTTGGCTGGTTATAAGTAACACACCATTTGTGACAAATGACTAAAATGTTAGCCATCAATTTTACTGATATGCTGGTATTATGTGGAAAAGACACACTTGTGATTCATCTTGATTAACACATTGGGCAGGATGTGGGCATCTAGGAAGGGAGGCTGATTCATCTGAGGTAAAGCATTATTCATCATGTTGTGGGCCCATCTCTAAAGTTTAATCCAGTTTAACCTTCCAGGAGCAACAACCCTGATTTTTATAGTTTAACCATGCCTACTTTGAAAGTATCCAAGCTCGGTCCCTTCAGATTTAATTTTTGCTTATAGTTTGTGTAAACAGGTCAACATTAGATGGAAAAACTTTTTTGAAAAACCTTCTTAAAGTGTTAATAGTTACACACTGTATTGACATACAGGACAACCATTTGTTAATATAAAACAGTTGTTTGCTTAATGTATAATTAAATACAGTTCATTTCTACATTAGCAGTCCTATCCAGTCTGCCTAACCACACTAAATAGATTATTTCTCATTTTCCTAAGTGGAGCTACTAGCTAATTATTGCTCCTGTATCCAACAATAAAAGAGCCAAGTTATAATTCTTCTTTATAAAAATATAAAAGCTAACGTGGGCTGCTGTGTATGTTCCTCCCTTTGCTTAAAATTCTGGTTAATTTATAGCTAATGTTTACAAACGCCAAACTTTAACGTTAGCTATGGTCAACACTAATGTTTTCCCTGGTTTATTATTATTATTTGGCTGTATGTTTATTATCACGACAAACGGTAATTAGTAGCAATTAGCATTAACGTGGATTATATTCATACTAGTCCATTTGGGGACACTTCTGTGACTGCTGGCTACGGACATGCTCTATGTAATATAGCTACGTAGTAGTTTGCATTGCTAAATAATTTACACTTTCTAGCCTGAACTTAGGTAACTTACACCCCTAAAAACTAGAAGTCGTATTTTTCCAGTGCTGCTGCCAAACTCACCTTTGGCACCGTACGTCACGAGCCCACTTCCTCTCACGATGCCCCCTGCCCGTACCTGCCTGAACGGGGCGTGTCCTCTACTCGCAGAGGACACCTCTTCCTTGGTCCAGTCCACTGCACGAGAAAGTTGTTGGAATAGATTTCCTGAAAAAAATAGAACAAATACTGAATTAAGGTAAGAAGAGGTTTAGATTATTGGTTTCCACGTGACCGCAGTAAAAACAAATGTTACCGTTTGTTATATGTATCATTAATGTTGATTAAAGCAGCCCTGATAAAATAAGAACCATTATGATTAGGAATGGTCCAGTGGGGTCTGTTGTCGACATAGACAGAAGAAAGTAAGAAAGTTAATGGTGATTTTACAGAATTTCTCTCTATAGTTGAACTATTATAGATAAGGCCTGGCTGACAGTTTATTCTGTAGCTAGAATTTAATAGTGATGTTACTTATGGCTCAAAACAAAACAAACTAAACAGTAAGAAAATATGTATGGTATTATGTTTGCAGTTCTGCTGTAAAGAAGAGGTTGTTAGTGTTCATGTCTTTCCATTGATGTGTCTTTGTTGATATCCTTTAGCTGTTCCAATATGAAGACCACTTTCAATGCAGTTTTGGTTGGAAATGAAACACTAAGTGTTTACCTTTAAATCATAAATAGTAGATTACAACATGGGATAAAACATTCTTAATACAGCAACACTGGCTCTTTTCAGGTTATAGAATATGTCAACACTTTAAAATATTTTGTGTGAAAAATACATTTGAGTTCCTGTCGTTTGCCTTTTGATGAGCCCCAGCTTACGTCATTGTACCTTTCATCACTTTTTTGTCTGTTGTGCAGTTTAGTGTAATATTTTGGGAGTCAATTCATCACACTCGAACACATCTCAGCAAGTCTTCCCTCAGCCAACATACAAGCTCAAACGTTTAACTGTACCCTGCAGCTGCACAGGGAGGGAGCAGCACAAAGAAAGCAGAGCATGTTCATTAAACCTAGCCTCCCGGCAACACAGTTTCACACAGTATACACTACCCAGGACTAATGAAACAGGTATTTCTGTTGATAGCCCCCGTGTAAATGAGCGTGTGTGTTTGCATCATTTTATTCGCTAGATTCTCAGAATTCAGATATGAGATGAAGGGAGATTGGCGCAGTGTGTGGAAACTGCTGTTTTGAATGGTCTCTCCTAATTTTCCAGATTCGTGTCTGTGCTCGTCACACATTCCACAGCTGTACCCTCCCTGCTCCTCCTCCTCACTTGCCTGAGGTCTTTCATCCACTTACTCATTCTCAAAATTAAAATAAAACAATCATCCAGCATATTTGTGCCTTTATGTGCAAAGCTGTTCAGTCAGGGTGAGTCTGCTGTGTGCTGTGTTTTGTAGTCTCAGCTTTCTTTTTTCCTTGTTGGCACCAGCCAGTACATCTATCATTCTGTGTGCTCACTGATATTTAAAAATGTATCAGCTGACAGGAGTTCTTCAGGGGTTGCAGCAAGCTTGCAGAGATACTGCAGGAGAAGCAGAGACAAAAACTCTGTTCCAAATCTGTCCCACTGTTGGCCACTTCAAACAGAAGAACTGGGAGATCTGTGTTAACTGCTGCCCAAGTTAATTTGGACATTCCAGCTGGATGTTGAGAAAGACTGAGTGCTCTGACTCGTGTTTTCATCCCAGATGTTTCCTAATCTTCAAAACAGAAGAGATCAAGAAAAGAATCAGCCCAATTCCCCCACTATGTATCCAATTAGAGATGGCGGTAGGCTGTTCCTTCCAATATCCCCTGTTGTGATGTCTAAACCTAGGAGTATCCTGTCTATAATCTATGCACTATCTCATCTCTGTCTTTCCAAAACAGGGCCATGATCAAAGCGGCAGGGATTGGAGAAACATCATGGGAGCTGTCCATTCAGGTGGATCAAAGAGAAGGAGCAGAGTCCATGAAAGTTAAGCTGAGGGTGAAGGGAGACTTGCACATTGGAGGCCTAATGCTTAAGTTGGTGGAAAAAATCAGTAAGTTTCTTTGAAGGGTAAAAAAAAATCCACCACAGTGCATTCTTTTGTTTCCTCAGTCACATTGTATTTACAATATGCATCATTTCATTTAAATATTCTTGAGGAAGGCACTGAATGTTGCTCTACAAACACTGGAAAAGACATTTCAGTTGCTTCTGCACATTGGGAATGAGATTGTCTTCTTGTGATTCCTTGCATTTAAAGTAGACATTGTTGGTTACCTGGTGAAAAGCCTAACTCAAATCTACCTTGTTTTAAGCGCAGTGCTCCAGTCTCCCCCCTGCTGCCACAGTAGGTCTGTTTAGTTAAGCCACACCCTTGTTTGCCCTGAATTTTTCTACACTGCAGTGCTGTTGTTTTGCCACAATACATTGGCTTGTGTAGCCTTAAAGGGCAAAGTTCAGCCAGGATATAACATCTCTGTTCATGAGTTCTCATAAACACTGCTGAGTTCATATACATTGTAGTATGATGGCGACTTTAATAAGGTGGTTTATTGGGCATGAGATATAAAAGATGACTAAGTAGCTTGTCATCAGCGGATGGATTTCAGCCCAAGCACCATAACATGATATCAGGTAGACTCATAAAACCACACTTGAATCATGCCTAACCACCTACACAGCAGTGTGCTCAGAAAGCAGAAGTGCTTGGTGAAAGATTTTAGCACTGAAGCCCAGTGCTCCACGTCATTTAAATGTGTGCAATAACTTTATGTGTGAATCCCCTTTTAAATAAGACAGCAATATGGTAATAATAATGGCAGAACTATGGTTTGCTGAATCTGTCTGTGTGTAGATGCTCCTCAGGACTGGTCTGACTATGCCCTGTGGTGGGAACAAAGGACATGCTGGCTGCTGAAGACCCACTGGACCTTGGACAAATATGGAATTCAGGTAATATCTAGAGTCATAATTTTACCAATTTTATTTCAAAACCAAGTCAGAGTTTCCTTATAAAGGCAGCTCTATAAAGGTCAAAACCTATTTAAATGTCCGTTCAGAGCCCCATAATAAGCAGCACCATTTTCCAGAGCTAACTTACCCTTAACACAAAGGATCCCTGAACCCCATCCTCACCCAGGCAATGAGCAGATATGTGGCTTGACACACAGCACCTGCATCGTAATTGCTGAAGTCATAATAAGCAAGAAACACACTGATTATTTTTTAATTACCAAAGAACCTTTACCATGTCTATTACCTGCACATTGTGCAAATATCATTTTATACCACATGTACTCTTATTGCTGAGGTCATAATAAGCAAGAAACACACTGATTATTTTTTAATTACCAAAGAACCTTTACCATGTCTATTACCTGCACATTGTGCAAATATCATTTTATACCACATGTACTCTTTTTGTACATACATTCCAGAGAAAAGCATTCTTATATAAGACATAAAGAGACAGGGGAAGTTCCCTTTAGTACAGCAAAGGAATGGATTGTTGTTATTAATTATTTTGTACATGACATGTAATGTTGCAGCTGGTTATTATGTACAAAATGTAATGTTGCAGCTGGTAAAGGTGGAGTTAATGTTAACTATCTTATATGTTTATAATGTGATTTATTGGTGGGTACTTTTTGACTTTCTCAATAAAGCCTTATGATTGTACAGTATTTAGTTTTATTTATCTGATTCTGAAAAGTGACTAACTTATGTAGTTGAGTAAAACTATAATATCTGCCTCTAAAATGTGGTGAAGTTGAAGTATGAAGTAGCAGAAAGTGAAAATACTCAAGCGTAGTACATATAGCTCAGAATTGTACATAAGTACAGTACTTGAGTTAATGTACTCGGTTACTTTCTCCATCTGGTTACAAGGTCCCCAAAAGCAGAGTGAGGAGGAAGAGAGCATGAATACTGATTGTCTATAGGTAACTTGATTTAAAATAATTTTGCACCACAGGCTGATGCTGAACTGCGCTACACACCCCAGCACAAACCTCTGTTGCTTCAGCTTCCCAATATGAAAACCATCAAAATACCTGTCAGCTTCTCCAGCGTGGTCTTCAAGACAGTGGCAGAGATCTGTCAAATGCTCAGTGAGTTTCCGTGTCTTTCATGATTTCTCCTTGCTGCCTTTGTTATAATTTAGTGCATCTAAAATTTTGATCTAAAATTAAGACACATTTCTTTCTTATTCCTTTTGATCCCTAAAACCTTCTGCTTTTGCTCCTCCTCAGGCATCAGGAGATCAGAGGAACTGTCCCTGCTGAAGCCTCCAGATGATCCATCCAAGAAGAAGAAGAAGAAGGACAAGAGCTCGCCACAAGATGACATCTGGGACATCGATTTACTTAGCGGGGGACCAGGGGGCACAGGTACTGTAAAACACAGGGCTGTTTCTTAACAAGGCTTAAAAGGTTCCACAGCACAGAACCACATAATCTTGTTTCAAAATCAGTATTAAAAAATTGATGTAAGAAATACCAACATACTGCCAAGGGCTGTATAGTTAATTATGATTAAGATCATATTTTCTGCACAGTAATTGAAACATTTTGTGTGTAGATTTGTCATTTTATGTGTAGAGGCTGCTCTGGTTTACCAGTTTACCAATATAAGGTGGATTTGTCTAATTGCAGTTTTAAGTTTTTATCAGTGAGATCTGTAAGAATTGTTCAATGCGCTGCAATGTTCGTCAGGATTTTCCTAATGACTCTTTACCTGGAGATACCCACTTCAGGTTCCACAGCAACCTAATATTCATTCTAACTAGGAACTTAGATCTATGGCTCCTTTCATCTCATTATTACTTTTTGTGTTTTGTCATGCTTTATTTTATTTTTCTCAACCTTTCATTCTAACTGTTGCGTGTTCTTTGGAACACTTCTTTTGGTTTCATATGTTCTTCTTCTCACCACCTATGCTATCTGACAATCTTGGCGCTTTTTAGTAAACCTTGGTTATAATTATTAATCTTTTGTTCATCTTTCCTAAAGGCCCTATGTACAGTAAGACCATGACAGCAATCTATGACCCAGAGAATGGGATGCCGGTGACTGCCACCAGCCTTTGGTTTGGAGAAAATCCACTGGCTGACTCGCAGCCAAACTTGCCGCCTGATGAGCTGGCTAAGATGTACCAGCCACTCTCGCTAGTGGATAAGGCAATCAACAACGCAGGGTAAGAACCAAAACATTTCAGTATAGTGCTGATTTGGAAGTTGTCATATAAAGTGGATGATATTTCTATAGACACCTCATGTGATTGGTATTTGCTATGATTGACAGGTGGTTGGACTCATCTCGTTCTCTTATGGAACAAGACGTTCAAGAAGAAGACAAGCTATTGCTTCGTTTCAAATACAACGTCTTCTTTGACCTCAATCCTAAAGTAAGAGTAACAAAATGTATCCTTTGGGGAAAAAAATTCTCCACTTGAACCACCCTTGAATAACAGCAGGGCAGTCTTGGTTTGAAGTTGCTGACCTGGAGTGTGTGTTTGTTTTAGTATGATGCTGTGAGGATAACCCAGCTGTATGAACAGGCTCGCTGGGCCATCCTGCTAGAGGAGATAGATTGCACTGAGGAGGAAATGCTGATGTTCGCTTCACTACAGGTGAACAATATACCATCACATTTATGAATGTTGCTGTATGTTTAATACTCAAAGCCAGTAAAATGAGGACAGCGGTTTAGATAGTGAATACAATGGGGTTTTCCTATCCTGGCATCGAAAAGAAGACAGGTTGCTTCAAAGGTCTGTTCCATTTACTGAGAACTCCTTGCTTTGCAGTTTCAGAGCTGAGCATTAAGCCCCGGCATCACTCAATAGGTACAGATATATTTTATTTATATTTATAGATTTAGCTGGTTTCGCCAGAGAAGTGCTAGAATATGGATCTTCAGTATTATAAAACCAACGACAGATATATAAATCAAATACCTATGGCTGTAATGTGTGATGAAAGCTTTAACACTTGCACAGGCGTTTTTATATCCATCCATCCATTCATTATTTATTTATACCGCTTAACCTGAACAGGCTCGCTGGGGGGCTGGAGTTAATCCCAGCGGACACTGGCCGAGAGGCAGGGTACACCCTGGACAGGTCAGCAGTCTATCACAGGACTGACGCCTAGAGGCAGACAACCACACACACCTAAAATCACTCCTACGAGCAATTTAGAGTCACCAGTCTGCATTTTTATGTCTTAGAAGTAAATTTCCTAATTGTACTCACAGTAAATAATACAAATTTTGATTCATATGGGCGTGTAACTATGAGCCGCAATTTCCCGAGGGCACAACAATGTCGATTTTAGTTTTAAGTATATATAGTGTGTGTCTTGGAATTTGGATTATTATCTATCCAGAAGAGGGAGTTTAGTGTCAAAATCCATGGACATGTCATGACATGAGGAAAATCTTACTGGAGAGAGAAGAATGGCAATGAGAAGCAAAGAAACAGGTAAAGGAAGAGAGATTGAGAAACAAGAAATGTAGCATGGTAACAGTAATAGTGCCCTGTCAGACAAATTTGCCCTAAGAAAATATGATGGCTTTGATTATTTTAAACCTTTAGCTATGCCATTTTCTGTGCTTTAAATATCAGCCCATCTCTGATTCGTTCAGGTCTTATTTTGCAACTGTTACGATGGTGATTCAGAAATCACAGTGATTCAAATGGAGATCACCTACACACTGATGCAGATGCTGTCACACAGGGCTGTGTTCAAACCTTCCTCTGGCTCACACCAGCATTGCGCAGCCTCTTAAGTCATGTCAGAGCGTTTCCATAATAACTTACAGTACACTCGTTACTTGCAAAACTGTTATCAGTTGATGTTTTCGAAAACTTTTTCTTTTCAGTATCACATTTGTAAACTGACCATGTCAAGTGAGCCACGGGACCACTCCAATGAACCAGAAGTAGATGAAGTTGAGGCTGCCTTGTCCAACTTGGAGGTGACACTTGAAGGTGGACACAGAGACAGAATTCTGGTAAAGAAAATTTTTAGATGCACTAAACTGGTTGTCAGGTCTGTTACATTAGAACACCTGCTGTTAAGCTGAGGTTGAAAGGTTGGCCCATGATGATGGCATGTTTTAACATGTTGAAAAGCTACATTTCAAGCTCCACTGACTCTTCTTTGGGTACCTCAGGTGTATATACTGTATATGTTATGGCATTCGCCACAGGCCAGTAAATATCATAGACCATTGGCATGTATTGGGTTTGGATATTCCCAGAGCAGTATATAAATGGGCCCAGAATATAACAGACATTAAAAAAAGTACACACTAGATCATCCTATTAGTGGAAAAATGATCAAGTGGATTGGCTTGTGTGGGAAAGACAAATGGAGCTTTAAAAACATGTACTTCAGAACACCAAAGGTGATTTGAAAAATCCTGTGTTTTGTTGAAGCAAAGCATTCTGTGGCTTTACTCAGATACTTGGGTATAGAACATATCCTTCCACACAGGCTAAAAGGCAACACTGAGAAACGTCTCCTCCAAAGGAAACTACTGGATTTATCACCTTCAAATCAAAGCACCTTTAGGACTGAATAAAGAGTTAGAAGTAGGGTTTTATTTGATAAATATTTTGATGATAGATACTGTATATGCTTTGTTCTCAGATAATCATTATTATTTTCCCCGGGGAATTGTTATGTATAACTGGATTTGTTGGGTAGTATGTACACTATGTTGCTTCTTTGGGATATTTTCATGTTTTTGTCATACTTACAGTGATGTTTCGTAATAGTATGGTGAATTTACATGGAGTATGGGGGTCATTCTGACAAATGAGTTTAGGACTGGCTGTGGGTTGGTGGTATGAAACCATGCTCACAACAAAGACCTGTCTATTTAATCAGTATCACACAGTTTGGTGCCTCTGTACCTGAAGAAGAGCCAGTTGACTGTAATAAAGAATTGATTTTCTGAAGGAGCAGTCAATACACTCTCAAGTATTTGTGGAACCTAAAGATTGTATTAACTTTTCTGACTCAGCACCTGGAGAAGCAAAATGTGTGTGTATGTCTTAACATGGCTACATCACAAGAAAACACAAAATCTCTGACTGTTGTTTGTCACGCCCCCCCCCAGGAAGACATTACAGACGTTCCAGAGCTGGCAGATTACCTCCGACTGTTTCGGTAAACCACCTTTATTTACATTATACTGTTTCTTATGAAGATGCTATTGGTAATAACTGGAGTAAAATATTTGTCTCTGAAACTGATCTGTAAATGACTTTTACATCATCATCCGTCAGTGCTTTTAAATTAAAATAAATTAATGGTACATAAGATCATTTAGGATGGATCCTAAGACAGTTTGTGGGACCAGAATAAAATACATACATTTCTTTTGTCTATTCATGTGTCTGATTTTTGATTTTGTTTTGTTTATGATGGTCTGAAAATGAATCAAAGGAGGAGGCCTGAAAAGGAGAAACATTCTTATGTTGAGCTGCTCAAAATAGCCTGAGCTTTTAATTTTGTTGTTGTTTATCTCATAAACCTTCAAAATATGTATGTTATTTCATAAACAGTCTTCAGTCTTAGATAATCAAAAACAATTATTACATTTTTTTCCCCCTCCTGTCTTAAATCAGGCCTAAAAGACTGACACTGCGGTCATACAAAGAGTACTGGTTTGTATTTAAGGACACCACCATCTCCTACTACAAGAACAAGGAGGCTGCCAGTGGAGAACCAATAGAGCAGTTGCACCTCCGAGGTTGGTGAGGAAAAAAATAGAAGAAAAACACTTGTATTGTGTCTTGTTGGGGTTTAAAACTCATTAATTTAAGTATTCTTATCCTTATGAACATGAGTGGTTATGTACAGACAATAGAAAACAGAGATCCAAGATATTATGATTAACTTAAAATGCATGTAGTGTTATATAATAAGTGTACAATTTGGATAAGCAGGTGCATTTACATAGATGTCACATTTTGTCCTGCTAATGTTCATGGGATAAAGCAGTAAATGTTGATTATTTTAATTCAAACCAGTGTATAAAATTCATTAGTATTCTCTGTTAAGCTACCTCAGTAACTGCAGTTTTATTCCGATCTCTGCATTTTTGTAGCTAAAATTAGTGCAGCATAGTTCTCCTCATTTGACAGGCTGTGAGGTAGTTCCTGATGTCAGTGTAACCGAAAAGAAGTTTGGCATCAAGCTCCTGCTCCCAGTTGCAGATGGGATGAATGAAGTGTACATCCGGTGTGACAATGTAAGGCCCGTCTCCTGATTCACAGTCCCCTGTGATAACCAGCATTTCTTTCTTTCCAAGTGTAGATGTTTCAGAAATTCTGGGCTGGTTTTATAACTGTTGTTCTGTTATTTTTCCTCTGCTGCAGGAAACCCAGTACGCCAAGTGGAAAGCTGCATGCAACCTCGCCTCCAAAGGCAAGACGATGGCCTATAGCTCATACAAGTCAGAAGTGAAAAACATCCAGTCCTTTCTGAAAATGAAGAGCTTGGCACCCCCTCTTGGTCAGGCAGCTCCTGACCTTGATGCAATGGAGATGAATGCTGAATGTTTTGTTTCCCCACGCTATGCCAAGAAGACCAAGACCAAACAGGTCTGTGTAAGGGCTGTGTGCAAGATACTTGATTTTGCCAACAGCCATCGGTGTTACATTACTGTTATGATTGTATATATTTGCTAAACCTGCCTGTATTGATTGATTCAAGCTGACGGTACGAATCCTGGAGGCCCATCACAACATATCACGGCTGTCCCTAATGGAGGCCAAGATGCGCTTTATCCAGGCCTGGCAGTCACTTCCAGAGTTTGGTATCAAATACTACATTGTGAGGTACACTGCCCATTTTTAGGGATGAGACATATGCATACATCTACATATAATTTCTTATTGATCATTTGAGAAACTATTTTTATACTTGTGTTTCAGATTCAAAGGCAGTAAGAAAGATGAGCTTCTGGGGATCTCCTACAACCGTCTGATTCGAATCGACATGTCCTCTGGTCTGCCTGTCACCACGTGGAGGTTCGCCAACATGAAGCAGTGGAACGTCAACTGGGAGATTAAACAGGTGGGGGATCATTGTGCCATATATTATGATTTCACCTTTCTCTTCATTTGAGGAAGCAGTTTTCTTTTTTTGGGGGAGGGGTGGTCTACAAACAGCATTATCTAAATCTAACATGTAATTCCAGGTGACCATAGAGTTTGACCAAAATGTGACAATAGCCTTCTGCTGTTTGAGCTGTGACTGCAAGGTGGTACACGAGTTCATTGGCGGTTACATCTTCCTGTCCACACGAGCTAAAGACCAGAACGAGAAACTGGATGAAGAACTGTTCCATAAACTTACTGGTGGCCAAGAATGAGATAAAAGTACAGTAGAGCCGTGCTTCTCCAAGTACACCTGTTTTTGATTTACATGTTACAATGTGAAAGTTCTATGTTGCCGTGATATCCCTGAACACTGAACAAGTCACTGCAAAAGAAAATGTAATCAGAGAAACTACACCATAATTTGTTGTCCTTCTACTGTATATCCTGCTGTGAACAGTTATAGCAATGTACCCTGCACTAAAAAATGCTGTTGATGTAAATATGTAGTGAACATTTGTCTTTCTCTCAAAATTTAGATGGACTTATCTTTGTAAGATTTAAGCATTTTTTAAGGTGAAGTGATGTTTTTGTTTCAGACAGACCTGATGTTTGTAAAAAAAATATTAAAGGGTGTTTTTATAGTTCATATATTGTTTCACATTTGTTAATTTGTTGACATTGAAGGTTTAATTAATCTTTATTCATCAACTGTAAGAAGCTTTGGTGCTTACAGTGATGCAGTGTACATTAAGAATTCAATATTCTGTGCTTGAAGGAAAAAGAATTCATGGTAGACAAGGAAATGACATTCTTTATTAAGTAATTTTAAAATTACTTAAGATGTGAAGTCACATCATATATTTTAATTGGAACAAATCATTGTTTTTTCTTGTTTAGTGTAGGATGCTCTCTTTTGCTCTTGTAATGGTCTCACTGCTACACAGCTGTAGGTGGAGCTGGCACACCATTAAAAAGCAGTTATATAATACCAGATCTTGGTCCCATGATGGGCCATGAAACACACCCACCACCCAGACTGAGTGATAATGTAATCACACATCTGCCATGTGTGCACCCAAAAAACTCAGCTGAAATGCCATCCAGCAGTATCAGCTCCCACACCAATAGATGGGCTAGTAGGTGTAACAGTTTACCATATATGAATTTCAGCATGAAGTCATAGTGTTCAGGAATTTGTACTTTTGTTGTAAATATTCTCAACTTAAAAAACATCCTGGCTAGAATTAATTTTCATCATTCATACTGCAAATATTCACAAATTTATGATAAATTTATGTGGAAATATGATATACAATTTACATGCTTTTGTAAATACATTTCAATAGAAATCCTTGATTGTCCTTTCTTTTTCTTTCTTTTTTTATTGCAACATAAAACAGCACAGTAACAAGACAAAATGTGGAACATGGATACAGGATTTTTACAGAAGAATATATGGGAGTTTTACATATGGTTTGTGTGTGAAGGTGTGTTGTGTGAGTATGTTCAACTCTAGAGTCTGGTTTTAGTTAAAAATAAAAAATGGTTATTTTTTTTCTTACAGTAGTTTCCATAGTAGTGTTATAGTGGCTGGAGTTCATGAATAAGGCATTGATTTGGAATCACTGTATCACATTACATGGAACTCAGTGAAAACACTGCCATTATTTTCTATTATTAAAACGTTGGATCCGTAGTGAATCCAACGTTTAAAGTTCACTACGATGGCTAAATTCTCAGTTTTCAGAGCCCTGACATACTGTAGGTAGCCCTGTTTATACCATTGATGTATAGGCTAAGCGATTATTCTGAAATCTACATTGTCGCCCTGGGCCTAACACAATTCAGCCAATCACGTTAAAGCATGTCATTTTATACAATCTGCAATCGTTTAGTCATCCTGAGTAGCTAAGGAAATAAGGGCTAACACGTGGAAGCAGTAATTTGGCGTGTTTTGCTTTTCCTTCAGGGTACTGTAATGCCAACGGGGATTCTATATCATTAGCTGAAGTCGACGTTTACCTCGCAGCCTGCCAGCAGGTTTATGTGCTTTATCATGGCGGACTGCGGTGACGATGACTCTCAGTACAGAATTAAGGAAGGTGACTGCATTGTGATGAAACGAGGAGATATATTCAAAGCTGCGCAAATTCAACCGAAAAAGTAAGTCAAACACCGTAAAATATACGCATTGCAGTGACGTTAGTTAACCAAACATCAACGCCAGTGTATCCTTCCATTTGATTTATTAAGAGGCCCAGACCAGGGTTAACGTTAGTTAAACTATGACAACTCACTAGTGATAGACAATCTGAAATTGTTTGTTAATTTCACAAAGTTTCTCAAATATTAACCAAACTCATTTTAAAGGTAAGTATATCTATTTTAAAGTTAAGTATATATTGCGACATATATGTATTGAGGGCCGTTAAAATGTCATTCCATAGTTTCGATTTTGTGCATGGTCTACCTCCAGGAAGGTGGTTTTTGAGAAACAGTGGTTCTTCCTGGACAATGCAGTGGGTCACCTGTACGGCACCGTGTTCGAGACTGTGTCTGGAGGGACGCTGCAGCCACAGAAGCCCAAGGACACGGAGAGCTCTTGTGGTGTGTAGCCTGTTTTTAAATGCTCCACTGCAGTCACATTCATCTGAATTATACGGTTGTCTTACTTTTTACGGCTCCAGCGGGATTTTCATTTGTGATGAATTCATGTTCATCCGTACCTTATGGATAAACATGTAAAGGACTGTTGATAGCCTGATTGTCTTTAACCTTCTTTATGTATGCTCCCCAGATGCTAAGGAGGCAGGCACAGACAACAGAAACATCGTAGACGATGGAAAATCACAGAAACTGACCAGAGATCACATTGAGATGTTCAAAAAGCAAGGTCTGAAGGGTCAGGTACATCAGCAGTTGCTTTAATAATTGGGAAAGTATCACCGCTCACCAGGTGTTGGGTCTATTTTATTAAAGGACAAGCTATATTGTTTTTATCATTAAATTTCATGAAAAAGCCCACACAAGTTATTAGCAGTGTGTGTGTGTGTGTATACAGTGCGGCAAATAAGTATGATACACCGCTGATGTTTCAGGTTTTCCCCACTTAAAAAGAATGGGCAGTTCTGTAATTTTCATCGTAGGTACACCTCAACTGTGAGAGACAGAATCTACAAAGAAATTCCAGAAAATCACATTGTTAGATTTTTAAATAATTTATTTCCATTTTATTGTATGAAATAAATATTTGATACAATAGGAAAAATAGAACTTAAATTTTGGTACCGAAACCTTTGTTTACAATTAGAGGTCAGACGTTTCCTGTAGTTCTTGAACAGGTTTGCACACACTGCAGCAGGGATTTTGGCCCACTCCTCCATACAGGTCTTCTCCAGATCTTTCAGGTTTTGGGGCTGTCGCTGGGCAACACAGAGTTTCAGCTCCCTCCATCCTTCTATTGGGTTCTGGTCTTTACCCCATTTTTAATACCCCAAAACAAGACAGTACAAGCATTTCAAAACAGAAAACACCACAAGGATCTCTTAAAAACAAATTAAGAATCTTAAAAAACAATTCGAGAATACCCAAGTAGCAAGACAGTACAAGTTTATCAGTGGAAGTCAGGAACAGATATCGCTCTCACTCAAATCACAGACAGGGCAGTCTGTGGTCAGAGGGGGAGGGGCGGAAGTGTATGTATTCCTAGCATTAGCATACAGTATGGGCCAGAGTTTTATTGTTCTTTGTGTAGGAGGGTGACAGAGAGCGGGAGGGAGACATGGCATGGTCGAGGTCCCTGAAATAAGGATTAGGGCCTGCATAGGTTTGTTTGTGTTCAATGGGGCTGTGTTGTGTAGACCAAAATGGTTACTGTGTTCAGCTTGTGCTGTGCACAGTTTGAAATGTCCTGAATGTTTGAAATTACTGAGGTTCCAATAAAAATTGGCAGTTGTGAAAAATCTTGCTTCATTTGTAAATTTGTCTTTTTTTTCAATCGTCTAACAAAAAATTAGCATAATACAGTTGTGTAATGTAATCTAACAAAGGTAAAGGGCAAATGTAAACATCTGTTGATTATTAGAGTTGGTTATTGCATTGTTTTAGATTAGAATTCTTTGATTATGTTGAGTTATGTTAGGTAGGTATTTTTAGTTAGATAGACATTGGTTAGATACTTTATGTATTAGAAATGTTTAGTGTAGATAAGATGTCTAGCTCAGGCTGTAAAATGCTTAGTCATTTTCATGGGGTACTAACAGGTCTGTGAGAGCCAGAATTTTTGCTGGTAGGTGATCAAATACTTATTTCATGCAATAGAATGGAAATAAATTATTTAAAAATCTAACAATGGGATTTACTGGAATTTTTTTGTAGATTCTGTCTCTCACAGTTGAGGTGTACCTACGATGAAAATTAAAGAACTGTTCATTTTCTGTAAGTGGGAAAACCTGAAAAATCAGCGGTGTATCAAATACTTATTTGCCCCACTGTATGTGTGTGTAGCAAAGGCTTTATCAAACAAAAAACTATTAAAATATATAAATGAGCCATTGCTACACTGGATGACAGGTTTCTTTATTGAGCACTGTAGTTTAAGTGGAGTCAGCCCTGGTCATGTTCACCAAATGTGTATTAATGTGTAGATGAAAATAGTCCCCAACATATACAATGATTAATCCAGTAGGGAATTAGAAAAATCCTGAAAGATGGGCACATGCCTTGTTGTGATAATTTTAAATTATCAGATAAAATGTAGTATAGCAGAAGACAGACTAGAGACGGTATGTGTATGTGCTCCACAGCAAATCATCCAAGAGCTGATAGAGAACAGCTCCACATTCAGAGATAAGACTGAGTACGCCCAGGACAAGTACATCAAAAAGAAAAAGAAGAAGTGAGTCACTTTCAGTTATACAAGCACAATCTGTCGCAGACTTAAAATAATGGAGCATGAAGTAATTAATGTTAATCGTTTGTTCCCATCTTGTGCTTTTCCAGGTATGAAAACACTGTGACAATTCTGAAACCATCTTGTCGCATCCTGGCTATGATGTACCATGGCCGGGAACCGGGGAAGATCTGGTAAGTCAGCAACCGTAAGCGTGAAAGTCATCTTTCCTAGTACAGAAAGAAATGATTGTACGATGCGTTTGTTTCTGCGCGATGCAGCCACCTGCGGTATGAAACCCTCGCCCAGATGTTGACTCTGGCAAACGTCCATGCTGGCAGCAAAGTTTTGGTGTTTGAGACTTGTGCCGGTCTCGTGCTGGGAGCTGTCATGGAAAGAATGGGGGGTACGTTAATTACAGTGAATTCTTCGCTAGTGTTTATCTGCCACAGTATTTTAGCTTTATCTATAAAGATGCTTCTTCCTGTGCTTTCCAAACAGAAGCTTTACATCTTCCCTTTGCATAATTACCTTCTCTTTCCTCCTCATCCAGGCTATGGCTCTGTGATCCAAATGTACCCAGGAGGTGGGCCTGTTCGGGCGGGTGTGGAGAGCTTTGGCTTTCCTGCACATTTTCATGATACGCTGCATGAATTTCCCATCTGCCATGTCAATGCTTTGTTGTCAGGCACTCTTCACACCACTGGCAGGGACTCCAGTGCTGGTACTGCAAACCAAACATTTCCTAGCTAAATCTACACAAATGCAAAAAGGTCCTCTGATAACCACGACATAGACAATAAGGATCAGCTAATTCCAAAATTAAAACAATAGGTTATAATATCCAAAAATGTGAAACAGAATCGTACTTGGATTTGTATTTATTTTGTGACACAATTCTGAAGTAATGTCCTCCAATATTTCAGATGAAAAGCAGTCCAGCATGGTGGAGGAGGAGAAAAGCCAGCCTGATGCAACGCAGCAGGGCAGTCCAGAGGAACAGAGCATGGAGACCAGCGCTGGTGATGACACTGGCCAGGACCAGGAGAAAACACAGGAGGAGAAACGCAAAGAAGCCAAAGTATGCCAGCTATTTATAAATCCCACTTAGGACATCTTTAGTTTCTGTTTTACTTCAGTACTACTGTATGTTCATAAGATAAACCATAGAAGCTGGTTTACCTTTTGGAGCATTTGGGTGTTACTCATGTTCTTGCTTGAAGATAGAAATAGAAAAATCAAAACTGTATCTAGAACATCAACACCTCTCTCTCTCTCTCTCTTCCTAGGCTCAGGAAAAGAAAGTGAAGCTTGAGGAGAAGCGAAAGAAGCTGGCAGCTGCTGCTGCCCTGTTGGAAGGCAGAAATGCTGACGGGTCGGTGTCAAAATGTGTTGTTCTAATATGTTTGTTTTTTTAATGCCTGTTCTCCTGCACTGTTCTGCTTTTTTTTTTCTTCAACATCAGCCTCATGTCTCTTTCATTTCTGCTTTGTTACTTCTGAACTGTGCTATGAGGTGAACAGCAGTAATGAAAATAGAACTACTGGGATAAAAACGATGACTGAAGTATCATGACGTATGTCCAACTTGATAAATCGTTCTCATTCTCTTGAGCTCACACACACACAGCGATTAGCACAAGGTGAACAAAGTGACTGATTTGCATTTTCCTGTCATGCAAAATGAAGAACTTGCTTTCTAGATTCTTTATGATTGATGGGTGAAGTGTTGCCAGGGTGATGTTCGAGCCATAAGTACAAGTATTGGTCTATTGAGTTTCCTCTGGGTCTCCTACATCAGAGCAGTATGTCATAAATACTACCACAGAGCACAGTTTCCCAGGCTGTTCTAAATCAGCCTCTTATCAGCTAAATAAAGTATGGAATGAATGTCTGCAGTTGGAAGGTACTAAATCCTTGCACCTTTCCATAGTAAGTCACATGCACTGATAGGTTAAATTGTGATGTGCCTACCTACACATTTCCAAAAACATAGTGTACTGTAGACAGTGTAGCTCATATTTCACCAGTTTGCTTGATCATCTGTTTCTCTTCCAGGTTGGTTATAGCCAGTCGGTTTCACCCCTGGCCAGTCCTAATGGGTCTGCTCAAATTCCTCTCCCCCTCCAGGCCTTTTGTAGTCTACTCCCAGTACAAGGAGGTAAAATTATCTCGACTAGTGACATTTACTAGCAACACAGCAACACTGTCGATGTTGCCATGTGATGATAATGTGTTATCTTAGAAGGACCTCTCATTTTCTGCCTCCACACATTTTATTGCTTGGAGTTCCAGCGGGAAATGTCCTTACGACATTACTGCTGTGACTTCCCTGTCATTGCAGAAGACTAACAATGCCTATTACCTTGGTTGTGCTTATGTTGCTACAATGATCACTTTCTTTGTGTTATATCTGGCTCTGCTGCCTTAATGCTTCATTTTTTATCTCTTCCCCCTTGATCTCTGCAGCCTCTTATTGAGTGCTACACAAAGCTTAAGGAACAAGGTGGTACGGTCAACCTCAGACTAACAGACACCTGGCTCAGACATTATCAGGTACAGTTGTGGGGGTCTTTTTGTTTTTGTACCGCTAAAGCTTCTCCAGTCAATTTTCTTTTATTGACGAGAATCAAATGGTTATGTCTGTTGTCAAAAGGGTTGTTAATAGGGAATAGAGAATTTCCCCTTGACTCAGCACCATGGAGCATTTTACTGTCTTTGAGCTCATTGTTTTGCTTTTACTGTTCTGACTCAGTCTCAGCAGCATTATTTTTAGACAGATTACGAAGATTAAACGTGTAAAAATGTTTGCGCTAACATCTTGACCAGGACTCCGTGAAGAAGATATCTTATATCTCAGTGGGACCTTCCTGGTTAAATAAAGGATAAATAATTAAATAGAGACAAATGACAGTTTCCCACAGTTTCTGGTGACATTATCAAATCAGTTGCTACTTCCAATCAAAAATCTTCAACTTGCTATGATCTAAAATCATGACGTGTTTGCTTGCTGGGAGTTCTTCCCTCTCGGCACCCCTCATTATTTAGCCCTGGCCTTCCTGTAGAATTAATGTCTCCTGACTGTGTTTTTGTGTCGTGTCCCTAGGTGTTGCCTAACAGGACGCATCCTCTGCTACTGATGAGTGGGGGCGGGGGCTACCTCCTCTCAGGGACCTCTGTCGTTATGGACCGCTCCAAACCCACATGTTCCCAACAAGCTGAGGAACCAGCACCAAAGAGACTGAAACTGACAGACACTGAAGGATAAACCAATAAAGAAACATCGGGTCTTCAAAGGGCACGTACCTAGCAGCCTGTCGGGATTTTCCTCCAGCGTTCACTTCCTTTTCTGCTGAACTGATTTGACACATCTGTAATAAGGGGGACAGTGTCTGGTTTGCATTCATCAACACTGGTTTTTGTGTATTCAGATCAGTGCAGATGGAGTAATGCTGAGGAGTAAATTAAGCCCATTCACGCTGTCTGAGCTCAGTCTGTGTTATGTAAGGAACTGCTGAAATATTGGTTTTGTGTTGAGAGTAAATGACAGGTTTGTGATTCACACCTTGAGACCAGGTGTAAAACTTTTTCTTTTTCCCCTAGTTAATGATCTTCAGTTTTTAAGTTTATAACTTTTTATGTTATCGCTACAGGAAGTGCCATTTGTTCTGTGATCCAGCCGCTAACGTGGCTTTGCTGTGGGCTACATCTGTATCTGCACAGAAATAAAGTGATACTAAAAGGCCCAATGTGTTAACACATTTTCATTGAGGAATAATTTGACAAGGCATTTGCTTGGTCCCGAAATAATTTTGTTTATTGAGTGCAGACTGAACAAACTCTTCAGAACACAATTTGTTGAACAATTAGACTCATTATTTTCTCACATGTATAAACATCAAAATCATTCCCATGCTGAACAAATTTCATAACATCAGAAATCACAAACAGTGATGCAATAAGTCGAGTGAAGAGTTTTCTTCTGTTTTTGTTTTTGTTACATTGTAAGCACATTACTTGGCAGACATACAGTAAGACTGAAGCTTTTATCTGCTGATAGCCGATAGTGCCTTGGAGTGACGTCCATCCTGGCTTATGCGCTGTTGTCATGCAGCTTGGTGGCGATTTTTTGCAGCTCCAAGTCCATTGCTGCTAGGTTTTCCAGCTCTTTCTCCTGCAAAGCAAAGTACAAGTAAATGCCATCAGATTTTTTTGTCACAGCACCTGTTTTTAACCATGTTTAGAATAGAAATAGGTATTAAATAGTCATTGTTTCCCCATGGCTGCTTCAAAATGTGCATATTATGCTGTATTGGTCATTTAGGTTAAACATTCCTTTATTATACCTTAAGTTGTAATGCCATGGAACCAATATATCACCATGCCTTCTCCTCCCTATTTTGTTTTTCTGCTTATGATATGATAGGGAGGACTAGTCTGTCTCTAACTCCTAATTGGCATTTTATGATTTTGATTTCTCTGGAAGGATATAATTCATTAAGGGCTTTGTTGTGATTACTGGTACAGTCATAAAAGGCTGGTGTGGAGTGCAAATAAAAATGAGGCAAACAAGCTAAAAGGACAAGTGATGTGAAGAAGAACTAATCTGTAGGCAGTAGATCCCAAGTCTACAGGAGCTGAAGAGCAAGTCTCTGCCCATGAATATGCTAGTTAGCTTTCCGTCACGCACTCGGGCCACGCTCGTGTGGGACCGTTCTTAATGTGCCTTTGCACAGATGCATATTAACGGATGCTCTGTTGTGCTGAAGACTCAAGCCTCACATCTCCATGTAGACATTTCCATAATGAGCATGGCGGCTTTTTCCCCCAGTGCAACAGTGTGGTGGAGGTTTGTCATGTGCTTCATCACTTTGCTATGTCAGGTGGTGCAAACTGTTTATGGAAATGGCCTCAGAGTAAAGTGTTTTACATTATGGGCCAAACAGAGAATAATGACATACAAATGTATGTATTCACTGTTGTCTCTTGGGAGATTCTCTGATTTGAATTGTTTTAATGTAGTTTTAAATTTCTAGTTTTCTGGCTGGTTGGTGTTCTGTCAGTCAGATATGTGAGGTTTTATGTTGCATGGTAAATATATTTTCGAGACTTTAGTCGTGTAGTTGGCAAAAAATACAGTATGTCCTCACATCAGTGAAATGGATCATTTTTTGCAAGTAAGTGCAGTTTTTACCTCCTGTGGGGTGAGTGCTCTTGGGTGTATGCTCCTGTCTGCTTCCCCTTGATTAGAAAGGTTGGCCAGCTGGGTTATTTTATCGCTCAGCAGCTTGGCCAGTTCATCCATCTGAACACGTTAAAAGCAGAACCACAATATGTCTGAACTGTACAATGCAATGCAAACACTATGTGCCGGGTCACATTTTTTGTCTTGAATCTAAAGGTACAAAGAATTAGCAACTATATCGTTTCTGTTTCATACATACAGATGAAAAGATGAATTGATCCCATTATGTTTACCTTACTCGAGGTTGCAGAGTGTCCATTTGAATCCCTTTTATACCAGGCGGGATGGTAGTAGCCTCTGTAGATCCAGGGATTGCGCTTCTCTGCCAGATACCTGAAAAATGGCCTCAGTTACATTCTGTGCTACCAGTAGTTATCATGTGAGCACATGATTCCTGCTTAAAGGGTTTGTTAATTTTGACGTGCAAAACGTTGTGTTGATCCCTGTTGGTCTGACTGGTAATCGTGAACTCTGCAGTGTTTTGTGCTCCAGGCTGTAAAATACAACTTTGCAGAATTAACAGTAGAAATTGTTAGGTTTGATGCAAGATAGAAGTACCTCAGAGCTTCATCCCTGTCCTTCGCAGCCTCCTCGTATTTCTCTGAATTGTCCCTTTGTCCTTCTTCTTCTTCAGATGAGTCTCCAACACGCTTGTGAATTTTCTTTTTATAGTGGTAGCGGTGTGTTGGTTTCCATGCATGTTTTTCTATTTCTCCCTCTTTTCCATGCCTCTTTTCAAGCCCCCAGTACTCCTGACTGCGCTCCCCATCCGATTCTTCTCTCTTTTCCTCTGAGAGCTCTTCATCACGTTTGTGTCTCCTTGGGTTGTATCTGCCAGGCCTCCACTTTCTCTTTTCTCTTCCAGTGTCAAAGTCCCAGTACTCCTGGCTGCGTTCTTCATCTGGTTCTTCCCTGACTTCCTCTGAGAGCTCTTCATCACGTTTGTGTCTCCTTGGGTTGTATCTGCCGGGTCTCCACTTTCTTTTTTCTCTTCCAGTGTCAAAGTCCCAGTACTCCTGGCTGCGTTCTTCATCTGGTTCTTCCCTGACTTCTTCTGAGAGCTCTTCATCACGTTTGTGTCTCCTTGGGTTGTATCTGCCGGGTCTCCACTTTCTTTTTTCTCTTCCAGTGTCAAAGTCCCAGTACTCCTGGCTGCGTTCTTCATCTGGTTCTTCCCTGACTTCTTCTGAGAGCTCTTCATCACGTTTGTGTCTCCTTGGGTTGTATCTGCCGGGTCTCCACTTTCTCTTTTCTCTTCCAGTGTCAAAGTCCCAGTACTCTTGGCTGCGTTCTTCATCTGGTTCTCCCCTGGCTTCTTCTGAGGGCTCTTCATCAGGCTTATGTTTGCTCTGGTGGTATCTTCCAGGTCTAGGGTCCCTCTTGTCTCTCTCATCGTCTAGACCCCAAGATTCCTGGCTGCGATCATCCTCCTCTTCCTCCTCCTCTGATGGTTCATCACCACGTTTGTTTAGGTTTAATTTGTGGTGGTAACGATGTTTAGGTTTCCATATGCGCTTGTATCTCTCCTCCTCATCCTCATTCCCATGCCTTTTGTCTACATCCCAGGACTCTTGGCTACGATCTTCATCTGGCTCCTCCCTGTCTTCTCCCAAAGGTTCTTCATCTCGTTTATGTTTTTTTTGGTGGTATCTTCCAGGTCTCCAGTTCCTCTTCTCTTTCTCTTCGCCTTCTTCCTCTGATCTCTTTTCTTCACCCAAATTCTCTTGACTGCACTCGTTATCCTCTTCTTCTTCACCTCGTTTGTGTTTCATTTGGTGGTATTTTACACACCTCGAGCTGCTCCTCTTCTCCCGCTCTTCTCCCTCTTCGTTCTCGTGTCTCTTCTCCTTCTCATCACCCAGATTCCAAGACTCCTGGCTGCGCTCGTCTTCTGGATTTTCTTTTTTCTCCTCCACTGCTTTTAGGAGTGCCTCAATGTCTTTGACATCTGCTCCTGTTGCCATGGGCTCTTTGACCACTTCTCCATGAGTTACTATCCCCTCTCCACTCTTCTTGTCCATTGGGTCGCGTTTAACAGCTGAGACAAAAGATGAGAGAGATTTTATTTTTTAAAGGCGTAATTATTAATTATTAAGTTAGGAACACATTATGAGGGATTTGTCATTTAAATTCATATTAGATCATACTGGTGAGGATTTGGTGAACCACTAGTTTCATAATTTACTAGTTCAATTCAAGGGCTGCACTTCAAAGACCAGGAAAATTCTAATTTTCTGACTGAAGTGGCAAGAAAACTGTGGACATGCTAAATCTTAACTACTGTTTATGGCAACAGCTGGTAGCCAAGATATTAGTGCCACTCTTCATTATCTCCACACATATTGGATTATTTGAACAATTTAGGCATGAAAAGTAACCAGCTGTGAAAAAAAATCTTCTTGGTGCAACAAACCTGCTTGGAAAATGCCTTTGCATTCCTGATCCAGTTGGGAGTCCGTTTTGGAGAGAGCTTTGGACAGGACTTCAACCAAACACCGGGTAACCTGCAAAAAAGCCAATACATTAAATGTGTTGCTCTCTGCTGTTTGTCTGCACAGCTACTATTTTACACGTAATAATCAAATTAGAAACTCATACCGCATCTCCCCTCTGCCCTTCTTTTCCCACTGGAAGCGCTAGATTGTCTGCATTAGAACAAAGTATTTATGTTAAAATGTGTGAGTTGCTGTAAATGTGGAAACGGGTTGCATGCGTTAAAGTGAAGGAGTCATCGGTGTCTCTCTCTATGGTCCTGAAACTCATCTTTCTAACTTCAGTGTTAAAAGAAACCCCATCTCTGGGTCACCTACCTTTCAACAGAGCCACAATAACAACAAAAATAAGTCTCATCTTGGCGAGGGTAAATCCACCAAATTGCGAAAAGGCACCGACTCCCGTCTCTCCGTAGCGTCAGGAGAGGGCTGCGCTGACTGGGCGCCCGCTGCTCTGACGGCTGGAGCAGAGGAGCGCCTCAGATATAGAGAGGAGTGGGCTGAAGAAGCGTGGGAGGAAGGCTTTGGGCTCTGTTAATGTCATGACTCATTAAACCTGCAAAGAGAGTGACTTGAGTGAAATTTGATGCGCGCACAATGTCGACATTTTGCGTAAAGCGAATTAGTAATCTAGTTACTGTCACAGTTCATTCAGGTGATAGTTTAAACAGGTTTTAGGAGACGTTCATGGAGCGTGGTTATGTTTAATGCCACGAGATGCCCGAGGACAGACATGCACAGGGGTGGACACAACATCACGAAGACTCCTATACTGATGCAACCTGGGACCACGACCCTGCAACACCACGTTGTAAAGATTTATAATGTTCATTATATTTAGAGCACAGAATTTCGCCCAGCTCAGCCTGTGCATATGTTGCCGTTGTTATTCTTCTACTGAAGTGCATTATGTTTGAAGGTATTAATTTTATACCACCTCCTTTCTCTTTCTGTTTATTGCATGTATAAAGTACTAGATTACATTGGATTGCAGATATCTTCATGATACTGTAGACCAGTACAGACAACCCTGAGTCAGAAGCCTGGCCAACTGACTCCTCAATAATTCATTTGGCCTTCAGCACATTCCATCCAGTCTCCTGTGGAAACTGGTGAGCTTCAGCACCAGTAGAAGAAAGCCATACAGTGGCGACTTGGATCAATATTTGTTGTGGTTAACAGGGAAGTGACATGTACAAGGTACAACTTTTTGCTTTTGTTGTATAACTTCATTCATTATGCCTTTGACATTACTTGTTACAGATTAGCAGTGTTGCTCTGATCAGGAGTATTATGTGACTGCCAATTCAGTACAGCTGCAGAGAAACACTAAAAATGTACATATGGTACTAACAACTGCAAACACTTGTGTGTATGTGAAAGGACAGTAAGCTGATCTTCATTTCAAACTTCTTTCAGTTCCCAACTTTCCATAAATCTAGGCTGTCTTAATCAGTGGCTGCTGCTGTCTCATAACAAACCCTGGACTGGGATGAGCTGACGTGCAGCGCCGGAACACAAACGTCGTCAGCTCAGCTCAGCACAGCTCAGGACATCTAAACTGACAACTGCTGCCATCTTCTTTTTGGCGCTTAGCATGATTTGTTTTCCTGCTTCCATGTACAGCAGTTTGTCTTTTCTTGGTGAAATGAGAAAAACAAGTCAAAAGGTGAAAGAAGATACCATTATTTTAAAATTATTCACAGTATAGTCTATTATAAATTCATTTGGCAGTTTAACAGGTAAAAAGAAATGTAGTCTGTTACAACAGGGCTGTATTATATCCTCTCTTCATGAAGGTGTTGATTCAGCTGTATGATCATTTTGGACAATGTAGTTTGCTGTGCTTTTGAACTGTACTGCAGGTGTTTGTTAGTTTGTCCACAGCATCTGAGACTAAGCTAAATAACAGAATTAAACACACTGTTGTATCAGACCATATAAGTGTACTTAATGAACTGACAAGAGAATGTTAATCTGCCTTTATAATTTCGTTAAACAGCTTGAGAACAATGGGAATGTTTACCCCACAGCACTGACCTCTATGTATGGCACTTTCAAATTCATGTCTTGAAAACCATAAGCCCAGAAACTGCCACAGCTGCAAGCAAAAATACTGTGGAAATACTGTGCTCGATAAATTTGCTCTCTCGCCTGTGCATCTTGTGCCTACTGGTCATTGACATCTATCTCTGTTATCGCTTCAGTGCTTCCAATAATTAGTGGTCGGAGCATAAAACTGGAGCATCAGATAGTGTATTGTACATCTAAGCAATACGCAAAGTGAACATAATCTCTGTGAGTGTGTGAATAATAGCAGGACACTTGTCAATGTAACATTTTGCAGCAGTTTTGAGGAGCTCTGCAGTTTCCTATATGTTACATAGGCAGGAAGTCATGTCTATGACTGAGGGTCAGTACTCCAGCGTGAGCCATCCAGCCACCGGACTTCAAAATCATTAATTCATAAAAGTCCCACGAGCTGAATAACACATGTGGTGCTGTGGATAGGTTGTTGTCGCCTTTATTGCTATTGCCCCAGGCCTGATTAATATTTTAGTGAGCCGTGAAGAGACAGTAGCTTACAGGCGGCGACAGAGGGATTTCAGAGGAAAGGCTCAATGCATACAGACAGCCTGTGAGAGCACGACTCATCGGCCCTTGTCTGCAACAACACCACCCCTCTCGTCATGACCATTTACACGTATGAACAAAGGGCAAGTAACTCACAATGAGCACAATGCAATACACTGGATAAAAGCCTCAGCTTGGCTTTGATCTTTGGTGGGGACAAGCTTCATATTTGGCTCAAAACTACTGAGAGGCTTTGATGAAATTCCAAGAATAATGGGGGAATCTCTGTATGATCATCTGTGATCAAATGCACTTCCTTTTGCTTCTATCTGCCTGGTTAATATATTATTATTGTCTGATATTTTGTAAAGAAGAATTTTATTTTCCTTTTGAAGAGCCACTTATTATTGTTTTGTTTTTTTTAGCACAATCAGATGAATATCTAAAGCAAAGTTCTCACTATCGCCATTAAAAAAAGGGGGTGGGGGTGACTGTGGTTCAGTGGGTAGAGTGGACATGTCCCATCCGGAAGGTTGGAGGTTTGGATCACAGTGCCTGCAGTCAAAGTGTCCTTGGGCAAGACACTCAACCCCATGTTGCCCCTGATGGTTAGAGCCATTGGTGTGAGTTGGCGCCACAGATTGCTGCCTCTGTTCTGTACTGGAAACATATTCCTGGTGTGTGTAACATACTTGGCCAAATAAAGTGATTATCCTTATATTCTCTTGATAATTACTAAAAAAGTTATCTAATGTAACTGTCTGACAGCACACTTATCTGAAAGTATTAACTGCTGCTTATTTCCTCTCTTTTTTTTTGTTCTGTTTCAGCATCTTCCTCTGTATGTGACTCTGGTCCAGCTATTTGATGGATTGCGATTAAATTTTTACATGCATTCACGGTCCCTAGAGGATGAACCCTAATTATGTCAGTGATCCTCAGATGTTTCATTTATGCCATTTTAAATTCTCTAAAATGTTGTTTTGTCACCAAATGCCTTCAGAACTGAGCAGCTGTACTTTCTGCTAATTAGCAAACGTTAGCATGTTAACCAACTAACAATCAAAAGATGCTGAACACGGTAAGCATTACACTGTCTAAACAACAGCATGTTAGCATTGTCACTGTTAACATTTGCACTCTGACATTAGCATTTAGCCTAAATCACTGTTGTACTGCCCCAGAGCTGCTATCATGCTGTATACATTGTTTATTGTTGACACTGAAACCTTTTTTAAGACAAGATATGAAATTAGGTTATCAAGAAGGACTCAGTCCAACTCAGACTCAGAATTAGCAAAGAAAAAAAAAAGTCAACGCCCGCCTGGTTATACAGTTGTGCTCATTCAAAGCTTTTTTAATAGACTACACAATAAAAAGTGCAGACAATCAGGAGTCAGTTTCAAAAAGGCATGCTAGAGTAGTCTATAATGTTAGACTTAAAATCAGGTCTAAAATGCATTTTTAGACTAGTGCATGTTAGACAATTTCTCCTTGACATTTGACAACCAAAATCTAATCAGTTCTTGATTAGACATTTATGCCAAATTTAAAGAAATTCCCTCAAGGCATTCCAGAGATATCACATTCACAAGAATGGGACCGATTCGAGCTGACAGTGACCTTTGACTGCCAAAATCTAATCAGTTCATCCTTGAATCCGAGTGGACACTTGTGTCAGGTTTGAAGAAGTTCCTTGAAGGCATTTCTGACATATTGCATTCACAAGAATGGGCTGAATGTACAGACAGATGTATGGATGAACAGACAAACTAAAAACATGATGCCTCTGGTCATGGCTACTGCCTGCATGGAGGCATAGTAAAACACTTAAAATGGTAAAATAACTAAATAGCCTTGTGCCACAGATAAATTGAGACAGTTGTCTAATATCTAGTCTGAAGATCTAATTCATATTAAAAGTGTGTCGTTATGAAATCGGCCTCAGGTGACTGTTGGACAATAAAGGAAGATAGGCAGCAAAGAATATAATGTGTGGCCACAGACAAAGCATGTCAGTGTTTTTGGGTGCGCTCCAAAACCTGTAACAGTAACTGTAAAGTAACACATGGAGTCCAACAGAAAGGTGAACAGCAGCAAATTTGTGGCCATAAAATGTGGGCACCAAATCCTCCCTGTAGCCCACAAATATCATGCTGAGCTTGATCATTCATTCCTTGACCTAGATGGTGTAAAATAATGATGGAATGAAATTAAAACCCATAAAAACACACTTGCTATTAAGATGGTAACTTTGTATCCGGGCTCTTTGGGGCAATATCCAGTCAAAGATGTAGGCTATTAACTTTGGTTCAAAAATAAAGACTTGTTGCTTAATATGAATGGATAACTTATTTTTTGGAATTACCATTATCAACGCATGGCGCTCTGCATCATATTGTTGCCTCGTGTGCTACTTGCTCTCCATTTAAGACCTTGACCCTATGTATCAAGTGGCATACCTACACGGCCAAATGGAGCCATTATGAAGCTGTTTTGTTGTTTATGCATTTATCAGACAGGATGATAAAGGGCTGTTAGTTATTCACCAGACTGTTACCAGAATCTACAGCCCAAACTGTAACATTGCTGCCATTAGCATCACTGTTGTAGCAGCAGGGTGCGTTCTCAGTACAGCACTCAAAAGGACCCAAAGGCCAGATTGAAATGGACCTTAAAAAAGATTCTGCTCTGATTTACTGTGCAATACGGGATTTTAACTATCCTCCTTATCTGACAAGCAACTGAAGACTAATTATAGGTAATAGCATGCCAGTTTTTATGAGTACTGTGACATCTCTAACATTATATTGTCCTCAGAGGAATAATTAAACTACAGTAGGTACTCTATACTACCTGTTGAGGGAACTGTGTGTGGTACTTGTTGCAATGTTGCTACAAAA